TTGTAGATTAGACAAAGTACAGAAGGGACCTCAGAATTAATAATGGTGAGAAGACATGAATAAATCCAGAAAACAGGCCAGTGGGGCAAAATTATTTTGCTCCACTGATCTGGAAGTGGTGCTATCCTAAGGATGATTGCCTGTTTCTATAATCTTTCCAAAATAAAAGTCTCTGGCTGTGAGTGAGGTACACAGAATTATTTGTGTTTTTTTTTTTCATGAAGCACATTTAAGTGTCGATAAAACCTCTGATTTAAAAAAAAAGAAAAAGAAAAACACCAAAACCTCTAGATTTAAGGTTATGAATTAGATAAAAAGTGCTTTACTTAGAACTACCTACTCAGAACCATCTCTGAAAATCTGGGAATGCAGTTATCACAGTAGCATCCAGTGGGAGAGAAGTAGGTGGCTCCCTAAGCTGTTGCTTGCAAAGAAACTCCTGAGACAAAGTCTGGAACATTCTTTCAAAATGCTATTGCCCCACAAGATACTTGGCCACACTGAGCTCCATATTTCTTTCCTTTAAAGGCAATCTCTTGTTTTTTTCGTTTTGTTTTAATCTGATTTAGTGTGTGTAAAAATTTGGGAGGAAGACAAGCTTGAAAATGGGTTATCTATCCTGGCCTCCTTCCCATACCTTCTAGCAGGGACCAAGCACCAAAACCCCCAAGCCCCTTTTAGAAGTTTAAACCCACCAGCTAAAGTCAAACTCAGAAGTAGAAAAAAATAATTTCTCAAATCAAGGATTTGAGACTCAAAGGATATTGGGGTTAAAAAGGAAAGGACCCAATCCAATAGTCTCATTTTATAGATAAGTCCCATAAAAAAGTTTGTTAACTTGTCCAAAGTAAGACAGCTAAATGGCCACAATCTTTTGTTTACTTCAAAAACCGTATCTTGGGCCGTGCACCTTAAAGATATCTTCTCCTTTAGGAAGTATCTTTAAGGACAAAACAACATTCACTCAACATTTTCTGTAAAAATTCATCATGTGATATAGGGATGGACTACATCAATGCAACTAAAGGTATGGCTCACAGTCTGAATCGTAACTATTTTAAGGTGATCCATATTCCAAACAAGCTTCAAAACAGCTGATTAACCAGTAGATAGTTAAAGTTACTTTTACCTTATTTAACTTCTAACACTTACTGAGTGCTTAATAGGGATTTGGCACTATATAATGCATTTTGCATGTACTATGTCATTTACAAAAATTGAAATAAAAGCTAAAAATCTATAGCATAAATGACAGTTAAGTACTGCAAAAAATTAAGGAACTCCTATTAAAATTGTGATTCAGAGAATTTAAGACAAAGTTCTACAAATGTAGTCAGACAAATTCCCAATTTCTCCATCTTAAACAAACAAGAGCTTTCTCTGTTTCTATAAATAAGACCATCATCATTATCTCTAGGTCATCAAGTCAGAGATGGATTGGGCTTCAGGAAATCCAGACAGTACTTTTCTCTAAAACAGTCACAACTTCTATAAATTCAAGAAGAGGTAACTATAAATATTGGTAGAAAATTTACCAATAACCTTGATATCTTGTCAAAACACTTCACCTTGATTTTCCAATATTCCAAGAATACTATTACACAATAAAAAATCAACAAAGTTCCTCTCTTCAGTTTTCTTCATAGGATTATGGCATACTTATAATTAAAACATACTTCTTGGTGAAGTAAAACTGTGAAGAAAAACAGTATGAGTGTAGAAGATAAAGGTTCTAGCATTATCTTGTTTCTTGATGTTTATAATTTTTAGAAGATAATTCTACAGCCAAACAACTTTCCTTTGAACTAGATAAGCTGCTGTAAGCTAGTAAAACTATTCAACGATGGGAAGAGAGTTGTACTTTCATACCATTTCATAATGGCTAAGTCTACAAATTACAAATCTATATAGCCTTACATAGATAGATAAGGTAGACACAGACACTTAGTACCTTCCATGTCTTCTTTCAAGGCATAATAGAAAATTTAATTTGTTATTGTTTCTTAAAATCAGAAGATGCAAGTTTAATGGGCAAAATTTATATACATTTTCAGTTCTTTCTTTAGTACCTATCAAAGGAGATTTTTAAATATTTATTTTGGAAGCATGTTTACCACACTGGAACTTTTGTTAAGAATAGTTTGATGAAGTCAGTTCAAAAGACTTTTTCCACCCCCCCAAGGTAATTTTTGGACAATATAAGAAAAATCTAATTTGTCACCAACTGTCCAAAAATTCAAGAAGTAGCTCCCTCTCCTGGAAAAAAAAAAAAAAATGTTGAGTTCCTCTTTAAGCTGTAAAATACATGCTTGGATCTTTAAAAATATTTTTTAAGGTACATGAACCAAAATGCAAAAATACCCAAATTTGAGTGAGGTTTTCTATCATTAATACCGCATACTACCATTTGGGCTATTAGTTTTACAGAAACCCACATAAATACTAAACTTGTACTCATTTGTCTAGTTAGCAGAAATAACAAACAATATGATTTGACTTAGTAACAATCTTTGTACCTGATCACAGAATTTTAAGATTCCTTTCACTTTAGTGGTTTTACTCCACCATCAAACCTCAATTGCATTGTTCATACTTAACTAATTTTTCCCACAGATGAAGTGGTTTTATAAAGAAAGTAGCAGCTCTGTGAAAATTTATTTAAAAATAAATCTTATTCAACTTGCTTGTTCATCAGGTAAAAAATTAAACATACGAATATGACTGACTGGTATTAAAGACCCCGAATTTATATTTCACACAGCACTTACTAGCTGCCTAAATATCAAATGCAATATACAAAAGCCAAAATTAACCATGTTAACATCTATTTCCTCACATACTAAAAACAAACTCTTATCCTATAACCCATCTATCACCCACTCAGAACAATGGTGTCACTAAGTTTAAATTACAAGAATATAACTGATTTTTTTTTAAAAAGTTGTTTATCACTAAAGATGAAAACAGAAAGTCTGAGGGAAGAGTTAATCAGAAAAGAAGGTACAAGCACATGTGCCTATCTCAACTAGAAAGTAAATTGAAAATGTCAAGACAACTTCAAACTTCAAAAATTTAATATAAAAGCTTCCCAAATAAAACAGATTTTCCTTAGTGCAAATCAAATGCCAAGATATCTTTATAAAGAACTGGATATATAATCTTCTTAAAATATTAGTCCTAGTTGTTGTTTCTAATATACCAATACTCAGAATTACCTGATAAAAACCTTTCAATAGGCACCCACTATTACAAGCACAGAAAATGTGTACTACTACTCAGATAGCTCCTTACTAAATTTTTGGGTCCCAGAGAATTTGACAGATTATCTGCAAATACACTGCTAAAGCTTTCTACAGGGACCAACCTTCCTAATATAAACATTTATTTCTCAAAGATAAAAGATAGTTTAAATGGAAAAAAAAGTTTCAAGTCAAATGTATATCACAAATACGGACTTAAGCTTTAGAGGCTGACTAGCTTTACTGAAACTACTTAATAAAATAATTTCTGAGAGAGAAGTTTAACCAATTTTATACACCATTCACTGTTAAAGAGAGCAGTGTTTAATACACAATCTGTACTTTAAATGTAACCCGTTAGATACATCCTGTGACAGCTTAAAATTTACTAAGACCCACACTAAAGTTTTGAGGCCAAGTATTTATTTCGTGTTAAAATTATCTGGCTGAATTAATCAAAGGAAGCTGGTTGCTCTTAGCTAAATTGGGCAGCTAAGTTGGGCAGCGGAGAACTTGAGAAAAGAAAGCAATGTAAATGAATACCGTACATTCCTATTCATGCACTTCAGATTAAAAAAAAAAACCCACCAAGAATCCAGTACAACCACCCCCCCCCCACTAGTAACATTCTCAGCAGCACAGAAAGAGCATGAAGTATACCAAAGTTAGTTATTAATTTTAAGTCATCCCCCCCCCCCCGCCCCCGTATTTGATAAACAGCAAAACTGGTATGGCAAAGGAGCAAGGTAACTTTCCTGCAATTACAGGAAGGGTCACAAGCGCACAGTTGTAACCACTACCCCAGGACACCACGCTAAAGTCGGGTGGGAATGTGCAGAAACTCAGTAACTACTCCAAAGGTCAACAGTTTTTTGGGTTTTCTTTTTTTGCGGTCACCACTAAAAAGATGCCAACCTACTCCCCTAAAAGGTGTGTTTGTTTTCAAAATAAAGTCACGAGAGAGCCAATAAATCAACTAGACGAGAGAGATAAGAATCTCCTTCCCCTTTTTCTCACCCTGGCCTAATATTTCATCTTCCTGCAGCCAGATTACTAGATGAATACAGCAGGTCACAGAATCAGGATGAAAATGTCCGTGTTGGCCTCAAATCCTCCCAGCCCCAAGTCCAACGATGCCTTCCTTACTTTTTCCTCTTCCTAATCCTACTCAAAGCACGGCTCAATGGATTAACCTGACCACAGTCTCAATTCCCCAGCTTGTCCCCAAATTAGCTGCCCCAATGATCCGCCAGGTAAGTGAGCTCAAGAATAAAACAAAGACTTTGGGGCCGAAGTTAGGCCAGGCACGAAGAGCACCAAAGGGGACAGCAAACGCGGTACAGAAACACTTAAGAACTAAGAAAGGTCCAAGGGCTCGTGAACAGACCGCGCTGTCGAAGTGCAAACCCCGGTGGATAAAAGCAGAAAGGCAGGGAAAAGAGCCCAAGGAAACTCACTGGAGAGACATTTTGGAAACGTACAAGACGCGCTCCCTCTGGTGTTAAAGGATCCGCAGTCAAATCCGAGATGCGCCCGTATCTAGGTGCCAAGAACAGACTCTCCACCAGCCGGGTCGCCCTCCACAATCCGACACAGCGCCCAAGGGTCCCCCAGTGCCGCCCCCTTCCCACGCCCGCAGGCTGGCCCAGCTGGGCCGGGTCCAAACGGGGCAACGAGCGCCGGCGGAGCCACTTCTCCGACTCCGGTTACCTCGCGCGGCCCTTCCCGGCAGGACGCCCCCCTCCCGGGCTCCGCGCCTACCTGTAGCACCAGCGGCTCGGGGTTGAAGGCCAGGGTCAGCAGCAGTTGCATGCGCTCCGAGTCCTTGAGGTTGCGCAGCAGGAAGCTGCCCGAGTCCTTGGTCTCGGCATAGCGGCGCACCAGGCGATCGAGCAGGCGCTGCGAGGGGCAGTGCACCAGGTCCGACCAGCCCTCCACCGCCTCGGGCGTGAGCAGCCGCACGTCGCCGTTAAGGCGCGCGAACTCGGTGCGGGGCATGGCCTGGAGCAGGTCGCAGCGAGGTCGGCCGGTGGCCCGTTTGCAGATGCTCTGGTCGAGCTGCGCCAGCTCGCGCTGCGAGCCGAGGCGCTTGAGCACCACTCGGCGGCGGCCGCCCTCGCGGGGCTCGCCGTACTGCGCGAAGTAGACGTTCTTCACGTTGAGGAAGTCCAGCAGGCGCAAGCGGCCCCACGCCTCGAACACCACCTGTCCGTTGAGGAAGCGGCGGCACCAGCTCGTGCCGAAGCACGCCGGGCACTTATTGAGCTGCAGGAAGCGCCGGTCGGCCAGCTCGTTGCGCTGCCAGGAGGCGAGCAGCGACGGCGAGTGCAGCACCATCAGCACCAACAGGCTGCCCAGCGCCGCCAGCTTCAGCGAGCGGGACAGGCGGCCCAGCTTCGGGGGCACCAGGCGCCACATCCCGCCCGCCTCCCGTCCACACGCACCCGGAGGGCGAGGGCACCCCGTGGGCGCCCCCGCCGCGCCGAAACCCGGAGAGCGACCGGCAGGGGCCCCCGGGCGAGAGAAGGAGCGAGGTCGCGGGCTGGGGCGGGAGGCGGAGTAGGTGTGTAAGAGAGAAAGACGGGGAGCGGGAAGGAGCCGACCAAAGCAGGCTGCGACTTCTCCCAGTCACTAGTCTCCACAACTCTCGAGCTCCCTCCTCCGAGCTCCCCGCCCTCCGACTCCGGCGGCGCCTCCTGCACGCCAACCAAGTTATAGAGGAGCGGGAGGGGCGGGGGAGGGGGGGAAGCGCGGGGATCCGACGGCCGCGCGGCCGCGCGCGCACGCGTACTGCTCGCTGGCGGCGCGAGAGCTGCGGCGGCCGCCTGTGGGGCGAGCGGGGTCTCTGGAGAGAGAGAAAGAGGGACTCACGGAAGGGGAAGAGAAGCTGGAATGTCTCACACCGAAAAGTAGCAACAGTGTAGGAAGGTGGGAAGGATGAGGTGCCCGCGCGTCCCTGACGCCTCACGCCCCGATTCGTACACGCTGGCTCTCCAGAGAGGGGGGAGAGGGGGCCAGGGGGCGGGGCTCGCGGGGCGGAGCGAGCGCGTCGCGCGCCGCCCGGAAAGCGTAAGCGCGAGCCCGCGGGGGTGGCTCTCGGGGCCGGCTCCGCGAGGGCGGAGCTCCAGCTCTTGGGGGAGGCATAAGCTGGCGAGGTCTTGTAGTGAAATGACTTTTGGTTAACAATTAATCTTTTATGATTGTTGAGTTTTACTGGGGCCTCTCTTTTGCTATCATGGAAACGGTCCCGTAAGGGGGGAAAAAATAAATGAATTGCGGAATTGCCACTCCATCCCGGACTGCTCTCGCCCGGGTAGGAGGGGGGCGGGGCAACGCTCTCCTCGCTCCTCACCCGGGTGGGGCGCGCGCCTGGGGGCGGGGCGAGGCGGGGCACGCCTGGCGGGAGTTCGCGTCTCCCGGCGCCCGCGCGCCTCTAGGCCAGGGGCGGGCCTGCGGTGAAAACGTGGGAAAGGCGTGAGTTGTTGGCGGACGGGCTGGGGACCGCGTCTTTGGCGTCTGTTATTATCTGTGGAGGCATCTTAAATTTCCTGAGCGGGTACGGAAAAAACGAAGTTAAAAGGAAAGTGTCATGAGAGAACCGACGCGGCCTGGTGTAGCTGGGAGTTCTGTCCTAGCCGCTGCGAAGAAGCGGGGATGAGCAAGTGGCGGGTTTGCCTTGCTCCCCGCCTGTTTTCACAGCGCGGCCCTGAAGCCGTTTGCTTCTGCTCGGAGAAGTGAATTTGCCGGCGCGGTCCGTGAGGAGCGGGATGGGGTTTCCAGGCCCACCCACCCCCGACTCCGCCTCGCGGCGGCCCCGGAACTGGGGCCTGCCCCGCGGGCTACGAGGCGTTGCTGTGGCGGTAGCCATGGGGACCCGGGGCTGTCTGGCGCTCCACATAGGCACGTTGGCTCAGATTCACGCCACGACTGCAAAAATAACACGGAAATGCTGAACGATAGCGCCTTGTTTTGGTATAAGTTTTAGGTGACCCGGACTCTAGCAGTAGCTGAGAACATACAACCCTTTTTAGTCTTAGCGCTCGAATAGTTAAAATGAGGACTACTTGTTCTGAGAAGAAGGTGGTTCCTGATACGGTATTAAAAATCAGAGTCCTGAGTTAACTTTAGGGATTGAACAATGATTTTTAGAAGACACTAGTAACTGGCATGAATAGATCAACTCTACAGGGGCTTAATGAGAGACATTAATTCTCTATATTGTTCTCAACAGTTACTTGATTGTAAAAAGCACAGCCATCCTCTTGAGAAGTACTGTTAATATTTTGTCCTTCCTGATATAAGAATTCAAACTTTAAAAAAAACTTTCGACAATTAGTAAGTATATTCAACATAGAGGTGATTTTTAAGTGATACACTGAATACAAATTGGAAGATTTAGTCTTCAGAGTCATATAAAGTGATTAAGAAATTTGGCTGCTGCTAAGGACTTTCTGCCATCTTTGCAGTAATTTTATTTAATTTGCCTTCAGGCATCCCAAAACTCCATACAATGTGAAGTTATGAGCAAAGTATCAAATGAGGATTTTCTAAGAAAAGCGTTTGGTGTGATTAGTCTGGAGATGTCAACTCTGCTGCTGCTGCTACTGCTGAATTGAAAACTCGGCAAGTCATTACTAAACTGCAAATTGCCTATCCCTAATATCTTCTTATCTGTCCTCTAGATGTGTTTGATTAATACTAGATAATTTATGTGGAAATGCTTTAAAACAATAACAGCACTACATACATTTTTATATTTATAGCTAGAATGAATGATTCCATTAGCATTCTTGACGGTAAACTGATGAAGCTGAGAGAATTGGAGCATAGTTAGAGACTATTTAGGTGACTAGTAACAGGATTTAAGAGGTATTGCTTCGATGAATGGAAAAGATCTTTGGAGTTCTAAAATGATTCTGTCTCCAAATCCTTGGATTTCTAAGGCATCATCTGAAGAAAGGATGTAGAAAAGGTTACTAGTCTATACAAGTTGAATTTTGAAAAATATTTACTTTGTCCCTAAATATTTTGCATTTGTTTAAGAGCCCTGATACTTTCAGTTACGTTTTCCAGGCTTTTATCAAGAAAGATAGTGTTCAAGAATTTAATACATATTTAAATATATTTTTAAAAAGGCTTACAGCTTTAAGAGAAACCGTGTTCTAAGTACTATATATTAGGGTTTGGAGAAAGATGAGTAAAGTGAATGTTAAAGTACATTACCCACCTGTCCTATAAATTACAGGATGCTTTTGGCTAATGGATTACAAACTCAAATCCAAAGCTCTTCCCCATAAGTTTAAATAATGGCAAATAATGTAATTTCCAGTGCATCATAAAATGTTATTTTACAATAACACTCTTTTAATTCTGTACCACGGAATTAAATATAGTATTTTGATATCCATCATCTATTTTTCAAAAGTGAACTAACACTTTGAATGTCTAAGTATTACATTGTATTGCTGTTCTATCCTTTAAAGTAGTGGTTTTCAGGGACTATTGCCTCCCTCTTGGGGGACATTTGACCATATCTGGACACATTTTTGGTGCCCTAGCTAGGAGTAGGGGCTACTGGGTTTCTAGTGGGAGAAGGCCAGGGATATTGCAGAACATCCTACATTGCACAAGGAACCCTCAACAACAAAAATTAATCAGCCCAAAATGTCAATAGTGGTATGCTACTGAGAAACCCAGACCTACAGATTCTACTCTTACGTAGTATGGTTTTAGGCATAAAAGTCTTCTTATCATTCTTTGCTGCAGGAAAAAAAGGTTATCATTCTTTGCTGCAGAAAAAAAAGGTATGTGTGTATTAGTATTGACTGCATATCTTGTGGTCATAATGTTCTAAATGTTAAGTCAATCCAGGTAAGTTTTTTTTTTTTTTAATCATTACAACTATTATTAGTATACAGTTGGTCAACCTATAAATATTATAATTTTGAATAATTATGAAAAGTAATACTTTATTGAAATGTATTTCTTGGTGAGATTGGGCTTTTTATCATTTAGCTTAAGTTTTCATGGATAAATATTATTTATTGCTAGCATCTGACAGAGCTCAACATCAGTTCTTTTTCTTTTCATTTTCAGAGATATAAAGGCCAAAACATCTTGTTCTTTTGAGTTGAGAGGAATAAAAAGAATGTTAATATAGCAGTGTTGTTCAATTCCTTTCATTCCTGTTCAGTTATATGCCAAAAATCATGGCATATCATAATGCCGGTGGCCTCTCAGAGTATTCTCAATGACATATCAATTAGGTTCTTCAGTTTAGTTTGATTTAGAATTAAAGCATTAGGATCCCAACTTTGAAAATGATACCTTACCTAGTTATTAATTTTCTCAATATTGACTTTTAGGTGCCCTGGGCAGTTATGTCCTGGAACAATGCACCATAGTGAGATTCAGGGTAGATAAGAGGTGTTTATTTCCTTTGTAAAGGCCAAAAGGGCAATTCTCTGTGTACTGAAGTACCTCAAACATTATTTGATTTAAGTGGTTGTTTATTAGTAGTTATTGGATGGGTGGATGAATAAACAGTTGAAGGAACAACTGACGACTAAATATTGTAATAATCCAAGCTAGAAATAATGGTTGATAGCGAGGAAGCTGGTGGGAACACTCTGGATATATTCTGAAGACAGACTTAACATAATTTATTCAAGGTTTGGATGTGAGAGAAGGAGAAGCATCAGCTATCACTGTGTGGTTTTTATCCTAAACTACTAGAAGATTCACTCTTTGCTGAGATGGGGTTACTGAGAAGAAAAGAATGAGGCAGCTAGAAATACACTTCCCCTTGTCCATTTTCTTTAGTGCCATGTTTGTGTTTCTAAGTTTAAGGTAGTTACTGAAACCCATAGTTATCCATCAAAATATAAATAATCTTATATATTACTCTCAGTCCAATTAAGACATCCCACAAAATGATGGAGTCTTTTCCTTTGTTTCTAACTCCATTGCCTAAAATGCAAACACTTGACAATGTTAATTGTAACTCTTTATTAATGTTAATAATCTGATTTGTGTATACTAGATTACCTTGAGGACAGCTTTTGTATTTGAAAGCTGTTCAGTGTTTTATTTTTATTTATTTTAAACACATTTTATTGTATTTTAAATCAATAACTCTACACAGATATTTTTTAGGACAGGTTCAATAGCAAACATTTGGCTTCATTGGATGTATAAAACTCATAAACACCCAAATTATGATTTTGTTGTGATAACGGAATTATATAGTTTTCTGACTTGTGCAGAACAATGCAACTTAGCTCAAATGCAACGGCAACCTATAATTCATGATTTATATTCAAATTAACATGCTGTGTTATCAGCTAGGCTGACCCAGAGGCACGTTTTTGTCTTGTAAATTTTTAATACTTACGGGTTTTTTTCGTTTGTTTCAGCAAAGAAAATAATACATGCAAAAATAGAAAAATTAACACCATTTCAACGACAGGTTACTTTCGTACCCAGTTGTTAAGATCTTTTGAAAAGTCAACCCAAAATGTGTGACCTGTGTAAATTAACATTATTATTACCTATTTTATGGGTTGACAAACATACTGAAAGTGCCCCTTACTCAGTTTTACCCAAGTTCAAGATTCTGAGGGTTCTCAAGAGTCCAGTGGATGAGACAGATACATACATAACAGCTCTATTACATGTCTGTGATAAATGTTGAAGTATAAGCAAATATTGAAGGAGCATAAACAAGTTAGAAATTCCTGTAGTTACCAGCATTATATTTGCATTGAT